TCTCTCTCTCTCTCTCTCTCTCTCTCTCTCTCTCTCTCTCTCTCTCTCTCTCTCTCTCTCTCTCTCTCTCTCTCTCTCTCTCTCTCTCTCTCTCTCTCTCTCTCTCTCTCTCTCTCTCACACACACTCTCCTCCTTACTCTCTCCATCTCTCCGCTCGCAGGCTTCTATGTACGAGGCCGTCAACGACGTCTACCGCATCCTCATCCCGATTCACGAAGCCAACAAGGACTACAAGAAGCTGGCGAGCCTGCACGGCAAGCTGAACGAGGCCTTCACGAAGATCGTCCACCAGGTACGCCCGCTTTAAAAAAGTCTACGTTTTCACGTGCGTGCACGAACCGCGACAACCAAACCAACGAAAGCCGCCTACAAACCGGGCGAGCATGGTTGCGGGTGTTGGTGGGGAGGGGAGTTGCTATCTCGCTCGTGAGGACAGGTGAATTAGTGTATACTGGTGATGTGGCGATCGCCCATTAGCTGGCTTTCCTTGTTGGTGACGTCGTCTGTTTTCTTCAGCAGGGAAAGAGGATGTTCAGCTGTTTCTACAGAGTCGGTTTCTACGGCAACAAGTTCGGGGATCTGGACGGAGAGGAGTTCATCTACAAGGAACAGCCGTTTGTCAAGCTGCCTGAGATTACTCACAGACTCGAGGTTAGAGTGAGCGAGGAGGAGGAGGAGAGGAGAAAGTTAGTGCGAGCGAGGAGGAGGAGGGTAGAAAGTTAGAGCGAGCGAGGAGGAGGAGAGGAGAAAGTTAGAGCGAGCGAGGAGGAGGAGGGGAGAAAGTTAGAGCGAGCGAGGAGGAGGAGGGGAGAAAGTTAGAGCGAGCGAGGAGGAGGAGGGGAGAAAGTTAGACCGAGCGAGGACGAGGAGGAGGAGGGGAGAAAGTTAGACCGAGCGAGGACGAGGAGGAGGAGGGGAGAGGGTTAGAGCGAGCGAGGACGAAGAGGAGGAGGAGGGGAGGAGAAGGTTAGAGTTAGAGTGAGGGAGGCGGGGAGAGGGTTATGGTTAGAATGAGGGAGGAGGAGGGGAGAGCTAGGGTTAGGGTAAGAATGAAGGAGGGGAGAAGAGAGGGTTAAGGTCAGAGAGAGTGAGGAGGAGGATAGAAGGTTAGGGTTAGAGCAAGGGAGTAGGATGGGAAAGGGTTAAAGTTAAAGCTAGGCAGGAGGGATGAGGGTTAGCTGGCAGAGATTTGAATACACTTATAGGGCCAGGAGGAAGATAAGATGACATTATTGTAAAAACATAATGTTAGCTAATACATGAAGCTATCATACTCATGATCATAGGTGAATGATTTTGTTTTTGTATCTAGTCATTCTACATCGAGCGATATGGTCAAGCTTCAATTCATACAATTAAGGATTCGAACAACGTTGACAGAACTAAACTCAACCCTGACATTGTAAGTGCAACTACCTCATAGTAATAGTGCATCACAGTCATTCTATTCTATTTGTGTAGTCTGAAGTTCACATAATATAGTTATAAAATTATATTTAAAAAACTTATAAAAACCCTACTGAACATTAAAGATACTAAATTTATAACTTACTCTATAGTTTAAATTGTGCTATTTAGTTTCAGACCTGCTACTTACATACTTTACTTTACGCAGAACGTTAAAATTCAGTAATAGTGTTAAAGCAATCCTTACTGTTAACACCTAGGGTGTTTTGTGATGTCCTATGCTGCAGTTACACACATAACACTAATGCCTACCTTTGCCACTTACACACTAAAAGATCGGCAAACCACACTGCATGACTGCTCGTATCTCGTTAATGTATGTGTCGCGTATGTAGTTTAATTGTCATGTTTACTGTGTTCTCGATGGCTTCTCTTGCCTTTCTTTGTGTTAGGCATACATTCAGATCACCTATGTGGAACCTTACTTTGACCTTCATGAGTTCCGGGACAGGACGACAGACTTTGAGAAGAACTACAACATTAGTAAATAATACTCCTTATCCTCTCTTACTGTAGTTTGTGTTTCCACTGTGCTATCCATCCTTGTCTGTGCAGTCTGGGAACAGGTGATGATAATGACATCAGGTATTTAAACCAGTATGTTCTGTGTCCTCCTTTCTTTCTCTCCCTCTCTCTCTCTCTCCCCCCTCACTCTCTCTCTCTCTCTCTCTCTCTCTCTCTCTCTCTCTCTCTCTCTCTCTCTCTCTCTCTCTCTCTCTCTCTCTCTCTCTCTCTCTCTCTCTCTCTCTCTCTCTCTCTCTCTCTCTCTCTCTCTCTCTCTCTCCTCCTCCTCTCTCTCTCTCTCTCTCTCTCTCTCTCCCCCCCTCTGTGCATGTCTGTGTGTGTGGTTCACTGACACTAACTGTGCGTACATCACTGCATGACAGGGAGGTTTGTCTATGCCACACCCTTCACACCGGATGGCCGCGCCCACGGACAGTTGGGCGAGCAGTACAAACGCAAGACCATCCTTACGACGACGCAGTCGCTGCCCTACGTACGCACCCGCATACAGGTGCAAGAACGCAAGCAGGTATGCTTTGCTTCTTCGCTCCTCTGCTCTCTCACTCCTGCACTGCCAGTGCTGCTAGATTGATGGACGTTGTACCTGTATACTACCACTACGCGAATATACAGTAGCATCAATTAACTTTATGGATTGTGCTGCTACCTATAGGAGCTTTAATTAATTATTTTTACAGATTGTGCTGACACCTATAGAGGTTGCTATAGAAGACATTCAGAAGAAGACGGTGGAACTCGGCGATGCGTTAATGCAGGACCCGCCCGACCCCAAAATCCTACAGATGGTCATACAGGGCTGTATCGGAACCACAGTTAACCAGGTTTGTTACGCCGCCGCGTCTCACACGTAACTCGTATTCCTAATAACATAATAATAGGTAATATATAATAAATATATATAGTCGACATTTGTTCACCAGGGGTTCCTGAACGTTACCAATGGAATATATGTTCTTCTAGTTTGGCTGATATGACCGATGAATTAAATGAATGTTCACGTATTCTGTGTAGGGTCCGATGGAAGTGGCACTAGTGTTCCTGGCAGACATTGCTGATGGCAGCAAGCCAGCTACAAAGCATCACAACAAGCTGAGGCTATGCTTCAAGGAGTTCATAAGAAGGTGAGAGAGTGGAGCCTGCAGTCTCAACGCTCTTGTGAATTAATTCTTTAGAAATTAGTTAAATTACTTTGAACTAATTTGAATGTTTCCAAATTTAATTTAAAATCTGACTCGAGAATCTATTGTTGACTTAGCCTGTCATTTACCTGGATTCAATCTCTGCGTAAACATTGATGCATTCAATTGTCTGGCATTCAATCTTGTAGCATTCAAATCTTTATAGCATACAAACTTACAAAATCTTCAAATAATACACACAGAACGTATGACCTTAAAACAAAGTGTGCAGCTTAAGAACTTGCTGCTTCTAGACATGAAAACAGTGAATTGCCAGCATTCACCTACTGCAGCATTCAGTCTTACGATATGTTTTAAAACCGTTCCTGGGGCCCACTGTTTTAAACAAAATTAGTCTTAACAATAATCTTAACATTAAATGGGGAACTGCATATATGAGAAACTCGTAACTTTACCATATTTCTGTCGACAGTCTATGACAAAAGGTTAATTGTAGGGCTAATGTTAAGACAAGTTTTGTTTCTAACAACAGATACCTGATGTTGCGTCTTCTAACTCTGTTCTGTTTCAGGTGCGGAGATGCCCTGCGTAGAAACAAGAGCTTGATAGGACCTGAGCAGAGAGAATACCAGAAGGAGTTGGAAAGGAACTACAAAAGCCTGTGTGATAAACTCTGGCCCATGTTGGCCAACACTGCAAGAAACACAATCAAGATGTAAGTTGAAACATCCCTCTTGTGAAAAAATATGCACATGTTTAGATCGTAGACGAATATTCATTACAAAAAAAAACCCTACCATATATATGTGAAAGCCTTATAAATTTCAACGAATGCCTTTGTGTCACTATTTTATAGCAAAGACCAGTTACTTTCCTTCCTTTTCTGTGAGCAGATTTCAGCTCATATTTTATCGTGCAATATTACAAACGGTGAAACAGGATCCCCTTTGCTGAGTTTAATCTAGCCATGATCTCCTAGAACGAGCGTGACTGCATGGCTGTATAATGAATGATGTTTTGTCTCGTCGTTCTCGCAGCAAAGACCAGTACAACAATGACAATTCCTACAGCAAGGTGACCGTCGCATAATGGCACTGCGATCCGCGCCGAGGCTTGCGAGAGGGGTTGCCACGGTAACCGCCGCCCACACGGGACGTGACGTGATCCGCAGTGGACGGGGGGACCATTCATCAGTACAACAGCAGGAGGAGTTGGTTGAGTTAGTTCACGCAGCGTGTTTCTGAAATCGTGTTCCTGATTAATTGACGCCACGAGTCACTGCGATATGTTCCGACCAGCCCAGATTGCAGAATTTGATACGGCGTTTAAGGGCAGGGTGTTTTTATATATGAGATCGGTGTGACATATACATTACGTGCTTACGCGCATGGATATTGTGTGTTTCTGGGGCGGTACCGGCGAGAATGAATCATGTAGTCACTACCTGAAGCTTAACTTATGAAACCGGACCGTAAATTATATTGTAGCGTCATTTGTAACCATAGTAGACACAGAGCATATGGCCTCCTATTTAACTATGATCGTCGATGTCAGCATTGAAATGCTCCACGTTTTATGCACAAGTATCGTCATGGGGTCACGTGTTCTAACTGCATACAAAGGGCTCGTCATGTATATATGATAAGTGACACTCTTGAATATCGAGCTTCTATACTGTGCGCTCTCACGGGAGAAACAGCACGGGTAAAATATCGAAAAACTTGGTCGGTTTCTTATCAAACTCATTATTCCTTCACATGTTGGCAGCATATTCGTCGCAAATGACTGTATAGGTAAAATTAGATGCTTCTGCAAAATTACATATTGTGTCGGGGTGCTTTAAATGGATCAATTGCTAGAATTTACAGCTAGATGATAACAAGAAATATGAAATGTAGGCAGTTAATCATGAAAACAAATATCTAGTTTAATCATTATAGTATTTATTCCGACTTGTCTAAAGGTAATGATGAACATATACACATATTTACATCATTACATTTAAATATATGTACTTACTTCATTTTGGTTACATCCAATTTTGTCTCGCATTTTAAAACAATTTATTTATCGTCTATTTTTTATTTACTCGCATCCGTTCTTGCATTTTAATAATTTTTTATCCGTTTTGTCATATTTCTATGTTTACGTGACTTTGCTCTGTACATATACAAATGTATATATACATAATTAAATCTGCAATAAAATATAGCAAATATATATGTATACACTCATAAGCTTTGCGTTTATTTCCTGTTGTATGTTTGTGTACCTATATATATATATATAAGAGAGAGAGAAGAGGGGGGGGGGGGGGTAGATAAAACTGCAAACTGCACAGACTTCATTGCCAGATAGTTGGTTAGACCTATGGTTAGACTTAAGGACCCGGTTCCACAGTCGTGGATTAACTCTTAACTCTGAGTTAAATTCCTTAACTCGGAGTTAAAAGTTAACTCCGAGTTAAATTCCGTTTCACAGTCGTGGATTAACTTTAACTCTGAGTTAAATATGCCTAACTCAGAGTTAAAATTTAACTCTGGTTCGAACCTGGATTAACTTCTTACTGGAACCTGGATTCATCCTTAACTCGGGGTTAAAAATGGCTGATTTTTACCTTTTTAACGCCCCAGTTCCCGAAAAACAAAAAGAATATCGCAAACACGACGACCACTTCAACATCATGACTGATCGCGAATTGTACGACAGATATAGGTTTTCGCGGCAGGGTCTTGAAAGATTGTTTGGACTTATTGGTGATGAGTTGCCAAAGATACACTCGCAGAGAGGGATGCCAGTACCCAAACACTGGGTGCTGTTAATGGCCCCACCCTTTGCTTTGCGAGTGGTGCATTTCAACAGGTAATAGCAGACAGTTTTGGAGTGAGTAAATCCACCGTGTGTCGAGCCATCGCAGCCGTTACCGATGCACTAGTTGGATTACAAGGCCGGTTGATCAAATGGCCGACAGCTCACGAGGAAGTAGCAATGTGCAAAGCTAACTTTCATAGTATCGTCGCATTCGTCGGGTTTCCTGGCGTAATCGGTTGCGTAGACTGCACGCATATTAGAATTCAAGGGCCGCGTAAAGCAGTTGAGAAGGACTACGTTAACCGTAAAGATTATCACTCTATCAATACACAATTGCCAATTGGGATAGTGAATGCAGACGGTAAGATTTTCATAAGAATCTGCATAATTTATACATAAGAAACAACTTACATTCGATTTATTTATAGTTAGTCTTCGGTATCATCCTTTAGACTTTGAAGACTAGTTTCTACGAGGTTAGTTTAGCTCTAGGATACTAATACTAGAGCTAATTAGTTTATCTAGTACTGCCCCGTGTTCGAATCATCCCGCTTGTAACCATATTTATTAATTTTACGTTTGTTGTTCGCTGACCGACGTGAGCCTATAGATGGCGTACCAACACTGATTTATTCCCATCCCTACATTCGTTCAGTTATAATATTGTTACTTGTAACAAATTCCTCGGTAGCTGCAACTGTTAGAGCGTCGTGCTAATATCGTGAACGTCGCGGGTTCGATGATCCCCGAGTTGGCTAAAAAAAAGCTTTCATCATTTATTTATTGCTGCGGGCTCCCGTAGATAAACTTCTATGTTTATTATTTACCCGGCTGCCGGGTATATAAGATAACTCAATAACAATAATAATAATCTGTCCATATACTGTTTTTGCACTTGTTCGTAATATTGTTTGTTAGCTTCGATGTCAGCACACTCTTGTTAAACTCATAAAGTTCCACTAGCAGTACCTTTTCTGCACTAGAAAAATTTGGTGATCGCTTCTTCATTCCTACCATTGCTGCGTTTAGCTTGTTCGTCTGCTGCTGGCGTTTGTTCTATTGTTATTATTATTGGAAATTATGGGATAGTAACTCTGAGTTAAAATATTTAACTCTGAGTTACTTAACTCAGGATTTAAACCATGTTTATGAAACACAAATTTAACTCGGAGTTTACTAACTCAGAATTAGTGAATTTAACTCAGAGTTAACCTTAACTCAGGGTTAAAGTTAATCCACGACTGTGGAACCGGGTCCAGGAGTAGATAATAGAAGATTTCTTCTATTATCTACTCCTGTATATATATATATATATATGGACAGACAGACAGACGGACGGATGGATACAATGAGAGAGTTACACATAAACAGCAATGATAGTCTATACGTAGAGGTTTGTAACATGACGTCACGAGGCACATGAAAACTCAGCTCAGCCTGTTGGCCTATTCTCCGATAGTACGACGTATCTACTATATAATAGTAGAAAGAGCCGAAGTGTCGTTTTCCGTATCTCCTCCGAAACCGTGCCGCGTGTGTTCGCGCGAATCGAGCTGGGGCCCCTACCGGTTTTTGTTTTACTTTCGTTCTCTCCTCCCAGGCGCCCGTCACTCCTACGCAGTTATAAACATGCTCCACACACGGCATCGCTTCGCGCCGTTGACATGAAACAATCGATCGCCCGTACATCAATCGGCACCGCTGCTTGCCATGACGGACGTACATCGTACGCACTAGCTTCAGGCGCGGTACACGCTGGCTATCTGTAACACCCACTGTTGACTTTGCTGTCAGTCTACTGTCAGGTACTGTTCAAGGTATAATTTCAATTTATACATTCTTTGCCCCCCCCCCAATTTTCTCAACGAATTTGACGTTTCACAAAATTGACCCCTGCGACTGTCAAATCCGCCGATTTCCGCCGATCCGCCGAAAAATCTCATCCCGGAGTCAGTATGTATGCATGTGTGTGCGTGTGCATGCGCGTGTGCGTGTATGTGGGTGTGCGCGCCCGTGTGTGTGTAAATGTGGTATGTGTGCGTGGGTGCACATGTGATTGTGCGTGCGCATAGCCGTATGTCACTATGTGTGTGAATGCGGTGGGTGCGGTGCGGGTTGTTGAACTTTTAAAATCGCCAAATCCGCATGCGCACACACGCACACCACTGATCTATTATACTAACCATATATAATATAATATATAATAAATAATCTTACTAATACTGTTGTGCCCAAACTTGGAATCTTGCACAAACTTGGAATTTCAGCGCATCCGCAGTTTGGGCAACCAATCTTGAGATTGGGCAAACAGAGGTGAACAGAGCTTGCACAAACATATGATTGTTAGGATTTCAAATGTTATATCATCAGGGCTGCCAACATTGGGTGATAGGCGAGAGTGAGATGCG